TGCTTGGCGGCTTTGGGGGGCGCGACTTTTGACGCTTTTTCAGGGTGCGCGCGTTGGTACCCGAATCCGCGGCAAGGTTTCCTCTCTCTTTTTTTTTTCGTTTCAGGCCTCTCTTTCCTTCAAGTCCTGTCCTTGTTCTTTTCGCTCCTCTCATTCGTTTTGCAACCTCTCCTAACTTTCGGTGACTCCCTGCTGACTTTCGTTTTGGGAGCCCTTCTTTCGCTTCTCTATGCTCTTCTTTCGTTTGAGGAGACCTCTCTTTCGTTCAAGTCCTGCCTTGTTCGTTCGACTCCTCTCATTCGTTTGAAATCCTCTCTCTTTCGTTGGACTCTCGTTGGAAGTCTTTCTTTCGTTTCTCTATGCTCTTTTTGTTCTTTTCAGGCCTCTCTTTCGTTCCAGTCCTGTCTTGTTCGTTCGACTCCTCCTCTCGTGGGACTCCTGCTGACTTTCGTTCGAAGTCTTCTTTCGTTTCTCTTTGCTTTCTTTTCGTTTGAGTTGAGACGTCTCTTTCGTTCAAGTGGCTTTCGTTCGAAGTCTTCTTTCGTTTCTCTCTGCTCTGTTTTCGTTTGAGAGCTATCTTTCGTTCAAGTCCTGTCTTGTTCGTTCGGCTCCTCTCATTCGTTCGAAACCTCTCCCTTTCGTTGGACTCCGGCTGACTTTCGTTCGAAGTAATTCTTTCGTTTCTCTCTGCTCTTTTTTCGTTTGAGACCTCTCTTTCGTTCAAGTCCTGTCTTGTTCGTTCGACTCCTCTCATTCGTTTGCAACCTCTCTCTTTCGTTGGACTCCTGCTGGCTTTCGTTCGAAGTCCTTCTTTCGTTTCTCTCTGCTCTTGTTTCGTTTCAGGCCTCTCTTTCGTTCAATGTCCTATCTTGTTCGTTCGACTCCTCTCATTCGTTTGCAACCGCTCTCTTTCGTTGGACTCCTGCTGGCTTTCGTTTGATCGAAGTCCTTCTTTCGTTTCTCTCTGCTCTTTTTTCGTTTCAGGCCTCTCTTTCGTTCAAGTCCTATCTTGTTCGTTCGACTCCTCTCATTCGTTTGAAATCCTCTCTCTCTCTCTTTCGTTCAAGCCCTGTCTTGTTTCGTTCGACTCCTCACATTCGTTTGCAACCTCTCTCTTTCGTTGGACTCCTGCTGACTTTCGTTCGAAGTATTTCTTTCGTTTCTCTCTGCTCTTTTTTCGTTTGAGACCTCTCTTTCGTTCAAGTCCTGCCTTGTTCGTTCGACTCCTCTCATTCGTTTGAAATCCTCTCTCTTTCGTTGGACTCCTGCTGACTTTCGTTGGAAGTCTTTCTTTCGTTTCTCTATGCTCTTTTTTTTTCAGGGCTCTCTTTCGTTCCAGTCCTGTCTTGTTCGTTCGACTCCTCTCATTCGTTTGCAACCTCTCCCTTTCGTTGGACTCCTGCTGCCTTTCGTTCGAAGTAATTCTTTCGTTTCTCTCTGCTCATTTTTCGTGTGAGACCTCTCTTTCGTTCAAGTCCTGCCTTGTTCGTTCGACTCCTCTCATTCGTTTTAAATCCTCTCTCTCTCGTTGGACTCCTGCTGACTTTCGTTCGAAGTCTTCTTTCGTTTCTCTTTGCTTTCTTTGCGTTTGAGACGTCTCTTTGGTTCAAGTGGCTTTCGTTCGAAGTCTTCTTTCGTTTCTCTCTGCTCTTTTTTCGTTTGAGAGCTCTCTTGCCTTCAAGTCCTGTCTTGTTCGTTCGGCTCCTCTCATTCGTTCGAAACCTCTCCCTGTCGTTGGACTCCGGCTGACTTTCGTTCGAAGTCTTCTTTCGGTTCTCGCTGCTCTTTTTTCGTTTGAGACCTCTCTTTCGTTCAAGTCCTGTCTTGTTCGTTCAACCGCTCTCTTTCGTTGGACTCCTGCTGGCTTTCGTTCGAAGTCCTTCTTTTGCTTCTCTCTGCTCTTTTGTCGTTTCAGGCCTCTCTTTCGTTCAAGTCCTATCTTGTTCGTTCGACTCCTCTCATTCGTTTGAAATCTTCTCTCTTTCGTTGGACTCCTGCTGGCTTTCGTTCGAAGTCCTTCTTTCGTTTCTCTCTGCTCTTTTTTCGTTTCAGGCCTCTCTTTCGTTCAAGTCATATCTTGTTCGTTCGACTCCTCTCATTCGTTTGAAAGCCTCTCTCTTTCGTGGGACTCCTGCTGACTTTCGTTGGAAGTCTTTCTTTCGTTTCTCTATGCTCTTTTTGTCCTTTTCAGGCCTCTCTTTCGTTCAAGTCCTGTCTTGTTCGTTCGAATCCTCTCATTCGTTTGAAATCCTCTCTCTCTCTCTTTGTTCAAGCCCTGTCTTGTTTCGTTCGACTCCTCACATTCGTTTGCAACCTCTCTCTTTCGTTGGACTCCTGCTGACTTTCGTTCGAAGTAATTCTTTCGTTTCTCTCTGCTCTTTTTTCGTTTGAGACCTCTCTTTCGTTCAAGTCCTGCCTTGTTCGTTCGACTCCTCTCATTCGTTTGAAATCCTCTCTCTTTCGTTGGACTCCTGCTGACTTTCGTTGGAAGTCTTTCTTTCGTTTCTCTATGCTCTTTTTTTTTTCTTTTCAGGCCTCTCTTTCGTTCCAGTCCTGTCTTGTTCGTTCGACTCCTCTCATTCGTTTGCAACCTCTCCCTTTCGTTGGACTCCTGCTGCCTTTCGTTCGAAGAAATTCTTTCGTTTCTCTCTGCTCTTTTTTCGTTTGAGACCTCTCTTTCGTTCAAGTCCTGCCTTGTTCGTTCGACTCCTCTCATTCGTTTGAAATCCTCTCTCTCTCTCGTTGGACTCCTGCTGACTTTCGTTCGAAGTCTTCTTTCGTTTCTCTTTGCTTTCTTTTCGTTTGAGACGTCTCTTTCGTTCAAGTGGCTTTTGTTCGAAGTCTTCTTTCGTTTCTCTCTATTCTTCTTTCGTTTCTCTCTACTCCTTTTCGTTTGAGAGCTCTCTTGCGTTCAAGTCCTGTCTTGTTCGTTCGGCTCCTCTCATTCGTTCGAAACCTCTCCCTGTCGTTGGACTCCGGCTGACTTTCGTTCGAAGTCTTCTTTCGGTTCTCGCTGCCCTTTTTTCGTTTGAGACCTCTCTTTCGTTCAAGTCCTGTCTTGTTCGTTCGACTCCTCTCATTCGTTTGCAACCGCTCTCTTTCGTTGGACTCCTGCTGGCTTTCGTTTGAAGTCCTTCTTTCGTTTCTCTCTGCTCTTTTGTCGTTTCAGGCCTCTCTTTCGTTCAAGTCCTATCTTGTTCGTTCGACTCCTCTCATTCGTTTGAAAGCCTCTCTCTTTCGTTGGACTCCTGCTGACTTTTGTTCGAAGTAATTCTTTCGTTTCTCTCTGCTCTTTTTTCGTTTGAGGAGACCTCTCTTTCGTTCAAGTCCTGCCTTGTTCGTTCGACTCCTCTCATTCGTTTGAAAGCCTCTCTCTTTCGTGGGACTCCTGCTGACTTTGGTTGGAAGTCTTTCTTTCGTTTCTCTATGCTCTTTTTGTTCTTTTCAGGCCTCTCTTTCGTTCCAGTCCTTTCTTGTTCGTTCGAATCCTCTCATTGGTTTGCAACCTCTCCCTTTCGTTGGACTCCTGCTGGCTTTCGTTCGAAGTACTTCTTTCGTTTCTCTCTGCTCTTTTTTCGTTTGAGAGCTCTCTTTCGTTCAAGTCCTGTCTTGTTCGTTCGACTCCTCTCATTCGTTTGAAATCCTCGCTCTTTCGTTGGACTCCTCCAGACTTTCGTTCGAAGTCCTTGGTTCGTCTCTGTATGCTCTTCTTTCGTTTCAGGCATCTTTTTCGTTCAAGCCCTGGTTTGGTCTTAGGCGCGTAGGCGCTTATGCGCTTATGGACTGGTCTGGGGCGCTGAGCGCTTAGGCGCTTATGCGGCTTATACGCTGGTCTTAGGCGCTTAGGCGCTTAGGCGCTTAGGCGCTTAGGCGCTTATGCGCTGGTCTTAGGCGCTTAGGCGCTTAGGCGCTTAGGCGCTTAGGCGCTTATGCGCTGGTCTTAGGCGCTTAGGCGCTTAGGCGCTTAGGCGCTTAGAGGCTTAGAGGCTTATCGCTTTTGCCCCGTCCCTCTTTCGCTTAGAGCTTAGAGGCTTATGCGCTTTTTGCCCAGTCTCTTTCGCTTAGAGGCTTAGGCGCTTAGAGGCTTAGAGGCTTATGCGCTTTTGCCCAATCTCTTTCGCTTAGAGGCTTAGGCGCTTAGAGGCTTAGAGGCTTATGCGCTTTTGCCCAGTCTCTCTGCGCTTAGAGGCTTAGGCGCTTAGAGGCTTAGAGGCTTATGCGCTTTTGCCCAGTCTCTTTGCGCTTAGAGGCTTAGGCGCTTAGAGACTTAGAGGCTTATGCGCTTTTGCCCAGTCTCTTTGCGCTTAGAGGCTTAGGCGCTTAGAGGCTTATGCGCTTTTGCCCAGTCTCTTTGCGTTTAGAGGCTTAGGCGCTTAGAGGCTAGAGGCTTATGCGCTTTTGCCCAGTCTCTTTCGCTTAGAGGCTTAGGCGCTTAGAGGCTTAGAGGCTTATGCGCTTTTGCCCAGTCTCTCTGCGCTTAGAGGCTTAGGCGCTTAGAGGCTTAGAGGCTTATGCGCTCTTGCCCAGTCTCTTTGCGCTTAGAGGCTTAGGCGCTTAGAGGCTTAGAGGCTTATGCGCTTTTGCCCAGTCTCTTGGCGTTTAGAGGCTTAGGCGCTTAGAGGCTTAGAGGCTTATGCGCTTTTGCCCAGTCTCTTTGCGCTTAGAGGCTTGGGCGCTTAGAGGCTTGTGCGCTCTTGCCCAGTCTCTTTGCGCTTAGAGGCTTAGGCGCTTAGAGGCTTAGAGGCTTATGCGCTTTTACCCAGTCTCTTTGCGTTTAGAGGCTTAGGCGCTTAGAGGCTTAGAGGCTTATGCGCTTTTGCCCAGTCTCTTTGCGCTTAGAGGCTTAGGCGCTTAGAGGCTTATGCGCTTTTGCCCAGTCTCTTTGCGTTTAGAGGCTTAGGCGCTTAGAGGCTTAGAGGCTTGCGTGGTTTCTCTGAACCCCTTCTCCTACTGCAATGTTCCATCATCCATCCTCTCTCCCGTTTCTTCTGCTATGTCTCCTTCATGGCATGGTCCTCCGATGAGGAGTCACAGAGGTCATCACTTGAACCTAGGTGAGGGATCTCGATGGATGACGGCATCTGACGGCAAAGACGAAGGGGACATATCAGCTGTAGGACTCACGGAGAAATTTTCGATGCCATCGAGGAACTCTTGTAGCATCCAGGGATGTTGTTGAAAGTCGCACCTGTCCCGCTTCGACAGCTCTACTACGGGCCATATTCGTGTTTCAATTTCTGCAGAGTGCTTTGAACACCAATAACCGGTTGAAAGCTTAAACTTGCGCACCTTGAGGTGGCTGCCGCCTGCTTTGGAGCAAGGTCTGCATACGCAGGAAAGCCTGCCAGGCGGCAAGAAATAGCGGTTGTTGCAAGGCCAACAGGCTGGGTACAGTCTCGAAGTGTCACAAGGCTTGTGACCCTTGTGCATGTTGACAAATGTGGACAGAAGAAGTGGGGTTGACATATAATAATTAGAGTCGCAAAATGGATTCAAACACCAAAAATCGACAAGACAAACAATCACAATATGTATCTAATTATGTAATACGCTATGCAGGCGGAATCACTAACAGTGAAACAGGGCAAGCACAGGTTTGCCTCCTTGCGCAGCTGCTCATGACGACGTGACCACTCCTCAAGGCCTCAAACTTCCCAAAACGATCCAAAACGGCAAAAGAATGAAGAAAGTCACTGAAAGTAGTTAAGAGAGATGACTGTGACTCATTTCATGCCGGAATTTGTCACATTTGGTCACCACAGTCATAACTTGTGATTTTTTTGTGAACTGAAACATACAGGTCACATTGGTTAACCAATGACTGTCACTCATCACAGGAGGTCCCGGGCAGTTTTGCTGTTTTGCCCCGTGCTTGCGCAGCGAAGACCTGGCGGAATGCTGGCTTTGGGGTGTCACAAAAATGCTGAAAGAAAACTCAAGGCGACAGCAGTGTGATGTGACTTATAAATGACTTAAACATACTTAAATACTTAGATATACTTGGATATACTTGGATATACTATGATGAACATACTATATCATGATATACTTGGCACAGGATGAACAGCTGAACGAGTGAACTCTGATGGCACTCATGTTTGTGAGAACAATCATGGAGAAACCTCAAAGGGAAGACCACTTCTGTCCCGGAAGCGGCCACTGTCCTTAGAAGCCGCATGCCAATGGTTGTCAACGTATGCACCCTATTAATCCCTATTACATATAACATTATATACATATTTAAATATCATATTCAGATGCTTCTAACTTCTAACATCTATGTTCAATATAACTATGGCGATCTCTCCCTCTGCTGTACGTATGTCTGTTTTTTTGTGCGCCCAGCAGCTGGTCGCAGTCCAGGACAACAGTCTCCAGGCCATCTGGGTGGTCCTGCAAGGGCCAAAACATACCTGTCGCATTCTACCACCAGTCATAGGTATGATAGGTATGACAGGATAGAGAGAAAAAATATGCAATAGATATAGCTGATATTTACATTGTTTTTTTTGTAATGATTTTCATGTGGAAGAAGGATCACAAGGAATTGCAACATCACCGATTTTGGCAAACACAGCCATTGGAAGCAGAGTGGTTTCCTCCTCCACAGTCTCAATGCGGCTTGAGGACGAGTCTCCTTATCCGTTGCAAGTTGGCAGCTTGGAAGTTAACGCGGGTAAGAACATATAATATGATAAGCAATTTGGTAAACCATGGTAAGAATGGTAAGCCCAAATGAGAGATGTTTCTTTTTCTTGGGGTTGCCACATTAAGATCGACTGCTGCAAGTCCAATTCATAGTGGGCAAGTGGACACTTGCTTTGTCACATGCCAGTTCTATGCAACATCTCAGCTTCGTAGGATCATGGTGAATGTGTGCCACCATCATGGTGAAGCAGAACTGCGATAACTTTTTCCGCTTTTCTTCGATTGCGCAATCATTTGCAGCGCAACGAATGTTAGTAGCAAGCTACCTAAGCAAAGGAACTGCTGCATTGCCACATCTGAAGCTGCTGTCTTAGCTCCTGGCATGAAGTTTCTCCATGCTTTCTTGTCGACCCTGACTCTATCGTGCATTGGAGTACCAACCCACAAACCAAACAGCTCAGTGACACCAGGTTGACTGGTGCTGAAAGAGTCGAATTGTGTCAAATCAATGAAGTCGACCCAGTGGACCCGTTGGCCCTTTGGCCTCCGAGCATATTTTTGACTTTGCTCCTGCTATCTCCTGCTACTTTGAAGCCTGGAGGCTGCCTGGAGTCATGCGGCATAGCCGCTGCCCGTCTCCTCGATTTTCACGGAGATGCTTTTCACTAGGCCACGTGGATGGTCGACGGTGTTGTTCCGGAGGATGCCCATCATGTATGCCAGCAACTGGAGAGGCACCATGGCTAAGATTGGCATCAAATATTCATGCGTTTCAGGCAAACCGATGACGTATTCGCAAAGCTGTTCCAGTTCATCGTTGTATTTTTCCGTAATGGCGATGGTGGCGCCATTCCTTGCCTTCACTTCCTCGATATTTGACTTGATCTTTTCGTAGGTGGCATCTGCCATGGGACAAACAACGACCACCGGCATGAATTCATCGATCAATGCGATGGGACCGTGCTTCATCTCAGCAGCCGGATAGCCCTCGGCGTGAATGTAGGCAAGCTCTTTGCACTTCATTGCACCCTCCAAAGCCACCGGGAAGCTGCAACCACGTCCCAGAAAAATGAAGTTCCTGTCAAAGCAAGGACATGCTGGGCGCTTTGGACAGAATTCTCTCTCTCTCAATTGATTGGTTCAGCTGCCCCCCAGACATTAGCACCATTCAGGACAAAGAACCATTCAGGACAAAGAACGAACATCAGAAAGCTTAAAGTACCTTAAAGTCAAACAAGATTCTGGGCGAGGACATTCTGGCAACCAATATCCCACAAGGGACATTCTCCAATACCGATGGGGTTGTCTGTGGAGGTCTGCATCAGGGGCTTGGCCTCTCGATCGAGAACCTCCTGCATGCCTTCTGGCAGTTCGTGCAAGCGCTTCACCTAAGGCCCGGCAAATCAAGCTAAGGTCCGGCAAGCACGTGTAATTTCTTCTTCCTATTACTAAAACTCGCCCAAATTAAAAAAAGGATTGGTTTGGCCCTTCCGCTTCTTTTTGGTTGGTTACAATTGGATTCTTAATTGTGGTAATTGAGAATCAATAGGAGAACAGGATGGTGAAACAATGGGTGCAACTCCCTATTGATAAAAATAGAACAGTACCTGGAGGTTTTTACTAGGGTCCCATCTCGCAAGTGTTATCCTTTATTTTATGATTAAGGTTTTCATTGGAATATTAGGGGAAAGCTTCGAAATCCAGTTTTTGGCAATATTTTAGATAGATTTTAATAAGGGATTTAATCAAATTCGAAATCGAGTTTATTATCTTTATTTTGGGTTTTCATTGGAATAGTGGGCACCCTAATACAAAATAGATCACCGTGCTTACCATTTGGGGGGGACCATGTTTCAGTAGTAGGGAGAGAAGATTAAGAACTTCATGGATTCCACATGACTTCTAGACATGATGAGAACAGCGCACTAGGCTATTTAAATGACCTTTGTGCATAAGTAACTTCCAGTCACAATTCTGGTGTCATGCAGGGATACACTCATACAACTTCGGGTCCATTAACACCGGACCGGCAGGCATCATAAATAATTACTGTGTGTGTGTGAGACTTGTTTAAGTAATTTTCTTCAACCTTTTTCCGTGCTTGAAAATTAGCTGAACCAAGTCACGAAAATTGACCTCTCAGCATCTGTGATCGTACCACACTCATCTGCCAAAGCCAGACTGAGCAGCTCAAAGACAAAACCCGTCGCCGAGAAACCTTTAGTGGAAGCGACGCCGACCTATGCAGGATGTAACGAAAGAAAATTCATATCTTCCCAGTGCTACTTTTGAGATATACCTGGAACATGATCAAACCATTTTTTGGGGGGTTTTCTGTCACAAAATTGACCGAGGCACCTCTGCACCAGCCTGCACGTTGATGACGAGATCAGACTCCTCTGCCAGGGTAGACGACGAGCTGTTGACAACGGCAATCTTCAGGACGTTTTTGCCCAGCGCTGACTTTGTGATTTGACGAAGGCTTTCGACAGCATCTGCGGTCTCCCCTGACATGGAAACGACGAAGACCACATCGCCAGTCTGAAGCGAAGGCTCGTGATACCGAAACTCAGAGGCATAATGTGCCTCCACAGGTATTCTGGCCATATACTCAATCAAATATTCTGCCAGCAATGTCGCGTGCCAAGACGTCCCAGAACCAATAATGCTGAACCTGTGGTGAGTCTCCGGTGATCTTCGCATTCACAAAAAAAAACACCGCCGTAATTAAAACATGCCGCAACTATGTAAACTTGATTTTAACGTTGTGAGCAAACCACCGGAGACAAACCACCCTGCCATTCACATGGGGGTTTCCGAGTTTCGAAAAAAAAATCGACCTGTCCTAATAATCTAACTGTCCTGTCCTGTTCGTGAAGCCTTCTGCCATCCGCTTTTCGGAACTCGCAGCCATGATTTCCAGTGGGGTTCTCCCTGCAAGGCCATGCTCTGGCGGCAGCTTGTCCCGAAGACCTGGGAGTTCCACCACTCCATCTTTCATGTAGACTTGCCTTGGGGTGCTGGGGTGCTCCACCAAAAAAAAAAAAATCATGTCGAAAATATGGAAAATACGGATGACCATGGGCAAAACATGGTTTCAAGATTGATACTGTATTTAAGTATCATGTCTACGAAGATATATTTTTTCATATATACATATCATCATCATCATCATCATCATCATCATCATCATCATCATCATCATCATCACATACGTATACATGTACACATGCATGCTTGCATGCATCTCAATCTCAAACTGACATAACATAACTTAACACAACATAACAAGACATAACATAACAAATCAAAACACAACAAGAGAGAACATAATGCAAAACAACAACACATAACAAAACATTGCATTGCAATGCAGTGCATTGCACGACATTACATTACATTACATTACATTGCATTGCATTGCAGTACATTACCTACATTACATTGCATGACGTGATATTACATTACATTTACATTGCAATGCATGACATATTCATGACATTGCATTGCATTACATTTCAAACATTGAAAAACCTTACATAACAGAACAAAACATATTATTACAGAACATTGCATTACACTACCTTACCTTACATTACAGCACATTACATTACTTTCCGTTACATTACAGGCATACATGCATACATGCATACATGCGTACATGCATACATACCGACAGACCGACAGACCGACACACATACACACTTACACACATTCAAAGGTACAACTCAAAACAAAACAGAACAAAACATTACATTACCTTCCGTTACGTTGCACTGCATTACATTACATGACATTACATGACATAATTTTAATTACATTACATTACCTTCTTTTACATCGCATCACATTACATTACCTTACCTTGTCTTACATTACATTCGAATTACATTACAGATACATCTCAAAGAAAACGTCTTCAAGATGTTTCAAGATATCCGCAAGCAAAAGGAAATGACTATTTATATAGGAACCACCAAAAACCGAACAGTTCTCACCAAATCTATGTGCAAAGTTGGATGCGGTTGTCTAATTGCCTTTTCAACATTTGTGGATCAACAGTTTCCCATAGGTTTTGATTTGTTTTGTGTCGGCGTCGCTGTGAATATTTCTTCGCCTGAAAGAACAGGACAATACGTTCATTTGCTTCTCGACGTGATGGAAACCCTGGGAACTTCGAATTTAAATTTTATCAAGAAAATTATCACCTTTCCTGCTTACCCACCCAAAAAAAGGTGTCTTTTCTTAGTGAACTTCCCAAAATAGTCATTGTGGGATCTTCCGATTGAGGTTTAGCACAAGAGGCTCACAAGCTTGAAACCATCAGGATTCACTTTAGCTATGTTCTAAGTATATCCAGATATGGAACGGAGATGTAATTTGGACAAATTTTGCTTCGAATGTGATCATATGGTTCTTATTCATTGAATACGAGTGGTTCTATCATGTCGAAGATTTGATGTCCTTTGAAACCTTCTAAATTTCTTACTCTGTTTGTCCGGGGCTTTGAAATATCTTGTGGACCGGAGGGGCTGTCCAGCGTTTGCTTATCACCAATTTTATCCCGCAATACCGGCATACTTATGTCCGATGCTGCTTCGTTTGTGTTTTCCTATCTTTGCTTTGCCGTTTGCATCTTGGATTTCAGGAAACTCTCTTTTGTATCTTTTTTCTGGCTAAAGATTCCTTCGTAGCCGTGGCTTTGCGAAAAATATTTTTCACCCAGACTCCCACGTATAAACTGGAAGATTCTCATCCTCAATGGATGGACGTTAGCAAAAAAATGTAGCGAAGTAAATGCAAAATTGTTTTTTATGAGCTACCAAATCTGGGGCACAAATATGGTGAAATCCAGGGTTACTCACTTGGTTTGTTTTATTGTTTAAATACATATATATATATAAATATGAATATGTATATGCAAATCCATATGCATGTGTATATGTATATGTGCACGTATATGCATATGTATAAACGTAATTTAAATAAATAAACAAATGAAAAAACATATACATACATACATACATACATACAAACAAACTGACATGACATGACATGACATGACATGACATTACACTACATTACATTACATTACATACATTACATACATTACATACATTACATACATTACATACATTACATACATTACATACATTACATACATTACATACATTACATGCATTACATACATTACATGCATTACATGCATTACATACATTACATACATTACATACATTACATACATTACATGCATTACATACATTACATTACATACCATACCATACCATACCTTACATTACATTACAGTCATACATACATACATACATACATACATACATACATACATACATTACACACATACACACATACATACATACAATCACACAATCATACATACATACATTACATTACATTACATTACATTGCATTACATTACATTACATTACATTACGTTACGTTACGTTACATTACATACATACATTACATACACACATAGATACATAGATACATAGGTTCATAGATACATTGATACATAGATACATACATACATTAATTACATACAATACATACATTCCATCTTTACATACATTACATACAATCTATATGCACATAAACATACATTAGTAAATATACATATATACATATCATATATACATAAATGTAAAATTTATTATCATATGCAGTACATACATATGCAAACATACATACATGCATGCATACATACATAAATACCAAAAAATAAATGAATAGATAATGAAAAATCATAGTGAAATAAATAAATAAAGAAATTAAATAAATAAATTAAAAGATGATATATATATAGATACATATATATCATTAATATGTTCATATATAAATACACAAATGCAAATATATATATATATAAATATACATACGTATGAATCATCCCGCTATCAAATTCGAAGAGCGGGTCTTCTAGAGTTTTTGTACATGAGACCTGAGCAACTCCTTGTAGGATCCTGACTTTATGAAAACACATGGAGACATATCACCCGCGTATCATCACATGTCACAAGGGTAAACACAGGGGACACCCAAGGTATCTCTTGAAAATTCTTAAGCGGCTTCACCGCTCATTGCGGCCGCCGCCTGGAAGAGGCCAAGGCATCAGGCGGCAGCGTCGTGAACGAAAATGCCATCGAAAGTAAGTGCACGGGGTACGAAACCATGGAGGCTGTGAC